GGGGGGGGAGCACTGTCGGTTGTCTACACTCAGGGAGTTGTACCACAAATTGCCCATCTTTCAGGCGGGGGGGGGGGGCTTAAATCGCGGCTGCGTCAACAATATCGAAACATTAATCGGCCCCGGTAAAAGCATATAACCATTCCCGGGTGCGTAATCCTGCTGGCTCTATGGCGCTTCCTCGTCATCCTCCCACCACCGCATTCGGGTTGTATAGCCCCGACCTCCGTGTGTCCGCTGTGTCCGCCGCTCGCCGTTCTTCGATCATCAATCGGCCTTCTTGCCGTTGCATTCTTCATTGATGCCACGCAGGCGCTGGACGTCGTGGAGAGGGGGGGAGCCGGTGGACGGGGGAACGCGCTGAAGAACGCTGGGGAAGGTGCCCATACCCCTCCCCCCAATCCGTTTTCGTGCGCCGCCTGAGACTGCTGAGACGTAGGCCACATTGGCAAGTTACTCTTACAGATCCAAAATTATTATTTTTATGCCAGGTTGCTGATAATGCTGATTCGCCCTGCGCACTGCCGTGTAGTTAGACTGTACGGCATGCAAGCGGGTGGGCAGGTTGCCGCCTCGATATCGCGCCGCAAGCAGATGCCATAGGCGATCGAAGGCCAACCTAGTGTTAGTGTTTATTTAACGATTTGATGACGTTGGTATCCCTTTGGGCTTTCATTTCTCACAGACACTCGACTGCTGCCGCGTTCACCGACGGCGGCCCCGCTTCGCCCTGTGCTGCGTTAGCTAGCGCCGGGCGAGGCGACTGAGTGGCGACGCGTAAGTGGCATCCAGTGAGCGAGACTGGTGGAGGGGCGTTTGTGAGAGGTTAGGGACCCGCAAGCACCCGCAAGTGCGCCTGATGATGAACGCGGGCGGGGCGGGGCGGGGCTTGGCAGGCGGGCCTAAAGGCGGGCCGCGCGCGCGCTCACGCACCTCGTCATTCCAGTTCCACCGGGGGCCCGCGGGCGGGGCCCGGTCAGGGCCCGGGCGGGGCAAGGGGGAAGGCCCGCAGAGGTGTCAGTTAGTGCGCAACGCGGGCCGAGGCGGGTGGGGCGGGGTGCGTGCCGCGCGGGCGGGGCGGGGTGGGGTGGGGCGTAGCGATGAATGCCTTCATGTCGTCTGCTGTTTGTGAAGTCTATCGGCGCAGCGCTTCCCGCGCGGATAAGGAAGAGCCAGGGGGGAGAGAGAGTTCAATGGCGAGTGGAGGCCGAAACTCGCTTCGGAAGCGTTGTCCCCGTGTTCCCCTTGAGGTCCCTGCGCACCGCGTTATTGTCTCAGGCCCGGGCCCCTAGCCTAGGCATGTCAAATCAGTGCGGCGAGTTTCGGATTGGAGCACGTCCCCTGGGTCCCGCGAGTAGTCGAGATCGCCCCGAAGTTGCATTCGTGTCTGTTTCACTCAGTGGACGTGTCGCGCAGCTCCCCTGGGAGACACCCTGCTCTCTCTGTTCCGTTGTGTATGTCGCGGATCAGGATCAGCCATGCGCAGCGGCAGGCGACGGCTTGACTCTCATCGACCACTCGCTCGCGTGTTTCTCGTAAAGTTGCGACCAATGCCACCTGCTCACTCCTCACTCCGCGAAAAGGTGCGTGTGAGGAGGCGCGCGGCGCGTGCCTCTACTTTTGCAATTTTTCATTGTGAACTGTTGTGTTTGTAGGCTCAATATGGCGTCTGCGCTGATGTCCACCGTCATGGATGTGGAGTGCTGGCTCGCCTACTCGTGGGTGGATTGTGCCTGTAAGTACCCGCCCCCGCCATATACGCCCGGCTCACGCGACTATCCTGCTTCCGGCTTTCTTTCCCTCCCGAACGTCCTTCGTTACACCTTTCGTATGTCACTAATTCGCGTTACTGAGTCCCCTGCACTGGGTACCGTGGGAGTTCCCCAGAGGATGCATGGGTATGGGTACAGCTCTCCCGATGAGTGCTCATCGTGTGCTGCCGGTGGTCATATGGCATGGGCGCAACAGATTGCTACCACGCGTGCCCACCTTTCTTCCATGTTGGCCGGTGCCATAAGTGTCACGTATCATTATCAATCTTTTCCTGTCTGTTGGCTATACCAGGTGGCTGATTCACGCCGCGCACTTTGTACTATGTAACCCGCCCGCACGGCTCCATCCGGGACTGCATACCTACCAGGCGCAGGGGACCGGCTCCAAGCGTCAACGCGTCGCTCCACCACCGTTGCTGCAGCCACCGCCCAGGGGCCTTGCAAAGGGGTTGTTCGCGGTTTCGCGCGGGCTCCCGCGAGTCCACGGGGGTAATCCGCGAGTCCGCGGATTTAGCTCGCGGGTCCACGGGGGTAGCTCGCGGTCCACGGATCCTGCCACGGGGGTGGCTCGCGTCCGCTGATCCTGCCACGGGGGTAGCTTGCGGTCCGCGAGTCACCCCGTGGACCCGCGAGTCGGTTATAGCGACATGAGCCCCGCGAGATATAAGCCCGGATGACATGAGCCCCGATTGCACCCGACATTGGCCCGAACCCGTACCGGCCGGGGCTCATGTCGTGTGCAATCGGGGCTCATGTCATCCGGGCTTATATCTCGCGGGGCTCATGTCGCTATAACCCGCGAGTCACCCCCCGCGGACCCGCGAGTCACCCCCGCGGACCCGCGAGTTACCCCTCTGGACTCGCGGGAACCAGCGCGAAACAGCGAACAACCCCGACAACCTCTTTCTACGCCCCTGGGCGGTGGCTGCATGAGCAACAGTGGTGGAGCAATGAGTTGGCCGAGTTGGCGCTTGGAGCCGGTCACTTGCGCCTGGTGAGTATGCAGTCCCGGATGGAGCCGTGCGGGGTTGCATAGTACAAAAGTGCGCGGCGAAAATCAGCCACCTAGTAGAATTGACTTACAAAAAGTTATCGGAAAAGTTAAAAATCCAGATTTATGTTTTAACAGTGCACGGGGCTTTTTGACACACCCGCTCTATATGAGTTATTTATGTACTCTTTGAAGCTTTTAAAAAAATGTATTCCTGGCAAATCCTGGCAGTCTAGTATTATTCAGGCACCGCTGTTTTCTTTTTCGAAATTTTATTTTTATTTTGTCTTTTTGTTTCATGTAGAGTTACACTGTAGTGCAGGTTTTTCCTTGTGCGCGCGATACGAGCTGTCACTTGGAATTCCCCCTAGTTCCGCTTTTAGTTGTCTTCTTGGATTGTTAACGACGCCGTTTCCTTTGGGCGGATTCTGCAGGTGAGTGGATTTATCTCTAAGCTAACTGGAATTAAACCTGGAACTAGAATACTGTGTATACGTAGAATTTCTTGCATTTTCAATTTTGCAAATAAAAAGTTCACGATCACATTCCCGAAGCTAAACGTCTTTTCTTACGCGAAAACGCTTTTTTTCACTACCCACAGTCTTATGGGTGCGTTCACGATACTTAAGCTAAGTGGAATTCCTTAAGCGAAACGAAACGCTTGGGCGGATTTCCCATCCTGTATGGAAAAAAGCGCTTGGCGGTTCCCTACGCCAAACGTTTTCGTACAGATCCGAGGCGGCGACCAATCAGAGATCAGAACGGTCCGCGCGATTCCGTTTAGCGTTAGGAGCATCGTGAATGCTCTTCGCGGATGACAAAACACGCTTAGCTTAAGAAAACGCGTTTAGCATACGGGAGGGTGATCGCACTGGAAACGCAATTGTGTGAATGTCGCACACTTGTAGGTGTGTGAGTATCCATTCGCACACTAATGGGGGATAACGTGTGAATTTTTCCTACAAAATTCACACGTTTACTCCCGTAAGTGTACGAATTGATATTCACACACCTGCAAGTGTGCGACATTCACACACTTGCGTTTCTGGTGCGTGAACACGCCTTAATTGGATGACTTCTTTTGTCCATCGGAATCTTAGTCATGGCGGATAGCGGATTCACGGCCCGAGATATTGGGCTTCGTGCCCAGAAGAAGATTTTGAGTCGCATGGCGTCTAAGAATGTTGCTCGGGTGTTCATAGACGACACAACCTCCAGCCTGTTAGACAACCTATACCGCCTCGCCAAAAGCTACGTAAGTCTCTGAACCTGCTCGCCAGAAACCAGCACCTGTAATAAATTTTATCCAACGATAATGATACTAAATAATACAAACTTTGTCGATATTCAGTCGAACAACAAGAAGGAGGCTGAGAAGCTAGTGAAGAATATAATCAAAGTCGTCATCAAGCTAGGCGTCCTGTACCGCAATGGGCAGTTTAGCGCGGACGAGATGAAGTTGGCGGAGAGATTTAAGGTGAGTAAGAGTGGGGCCAACATTGAAATTTGGGGTGTCTGAAAATGTAAACGCCAAAAGGCGTATGTTACAAATGCTATACAGGATCCAGAAAGAAATTTGACGTTCACTTTTGAGACATCTTTTGGCGTATAGATTCTAGACATCTATGCCCATACCATTCCCACCACATCAGAGGCCCTTTGATACACACACTCTGAAAGGCGCTGCTCACGTCCTGTATCGGGTGATTCAGAGAAGACCGAGAAGACGCAGGTGCAGGCGGGTATGCCTACCCGCTCTGCAAGTAATGCGCCATGACCCCTTGGGTAGGCAAGCCGCCCGCACCTGCGTCTTCTCTGAATCACCCGGTACACCCTCACACCTGCATGTTGAAAGCTGGGGTTGTCCTGTGGGCAAAGATGTCTAGAATCTATTTGCCAAAAGATGTCTCAAAAATGTAGGCCTACGCCAAATGTCGCTCTGGATCCTGTTGCATACGCCTTTTGGCGTATACATTTGAGACACCCCCAAATAATAGTGTAAGTATACCATGTGGCTGATTAACCCCGCTCACTTCTGTAGTTATGCTGTACCGCACGCACGAGTGCGGGCGGCTTGCCTACTCTCTCGGCCCGTAAGGCGCCGTATGGGCGATAGGCAAGCCCGCCTGCACTCGTGCGTGCGGTACAGCATAACGTGTGCAACGGATGCCTCACCCACGCCAGTCCCTTGTAGCACCAAACATTCAGACAATGTTCTGAGAACGTTCCTTTGGTTCTCTGAAGGTTCCATAAACGTTAAAAGAACGACATGTGCTACGAGGGGTGTAGCGGGTTGCGGGTTTGCCTGCGAAGTGCGTTGTCCCCTGCAAACCCGTAACACGGTGTCTCCGGTGTGTGAGAGCGAACATAAAAATGTGCGACCAGCCTCGGTTTCATGTCGAACAAACACGAACATACAAAAAATAATTCAAACCGAAAACCTGTAAAAAAAAAATTTTTACAATACAATTGTTCCTAAAGTTCTCTTTTCTCAACTACTTAATAATCATTTAAATGCCGGGCACACAGTGAAGGTCAAATAGGTACCGCTTGTTCATTTACTGGCACCACATTCCCAAATATCTGCCTTGCCTTTTTTAGACTTACTTATTATTACACCTTCGGATATCGTTCGACCACGAACGCTCTCAGACGTCATTTTTCGAACAGCTCGGTGCTCGAACACTTGATGATTGGCCTCAAACAAAATTTTGTGTTCGGTTCGTTCTTGCCTCCTATGCTCTACTCGGCGGGCGCACAGTGCCATTATTGGAGCCGAGCGCCCGCCGAGTCGAGCATAGGCAAGCCCGCTGTACTGGTACGCATATCTGGTTGTGTAGTAAAAGCGTCAGACGGGATGATGATATGGCATAGGGAAGACGTCGACGTCGTTTCGGTATTGTTAAGACATTTTGAGTTGGTCCGCATCCGCAACGCCTGACTGGGCCTTGTGATTCACAGAGCCGTCTGCACGCCGCCGCCATGGCGGCTGTCAGCTTCCATGAGGTCGAGTTCAGCTACGACGTCCACTACCTGCTGTCGGCGCTCAACGACTCCAAAGCCGCCCTGCAGCAGCTCGTCGCCAGTCACCTCACAGACAAGAGTATGACGCGTATCGATCACGTGTTCAGCTTCTTCGCCAACCAGCAGTTCCTGGACGCCATTTTCCGTCGGGACAGCGCACACCGAGAGCACCTGTCCAGACTTGTGCACGACATGAACAAGGCCATGGACGAGGGCTCCGTGTAAGACAGGGGACAGGGACAAAACATTTTGGAAGTTGTAAATATGTAATTACTAAAACGAAAGAAAACAAAATAGAGATTTATATGTATAAAATCAAGAGTTTTATGGGTAATGCAGAAGTAGAGAGGAGAATGGGTGTGAAATGTGGGTAGTTTCAAACTTCTCCCAACTGAGGAAAAGACTAGTCTTTGTTCTGATGTCGTTTTGCATATTCGCTTCATGCAATTAATTTATTATGATTATAATAACCTGTAAAAAGTTTCTACGTTCACAAAGAAACCTTCCAACAGTCGAAGATGATGAATAAATTATATAATAATGAGTACAATGTTGTGATGAAACAAATCTGTAACTGAATTACAGAATTTGTTTTAAATTTCATTAACCACCGAGGATCATGGTTTGATCCCAAGTGGGTAGGCAACCCGCCCGACGCTCGTCCAGACGGTACCCTCGTTATTTTCATTACGGACACTACGCTCCGCGCAGGGAACTCCGTTTGGCGGGGGCCGGGCCTAGCTTGGCGTCCCGGCGGCGTTTGGTCACTGTAAGTCACTTCGCATACTAAGGCTTCCGGCGAAGAGACCTGCGGCCCTAGAGATTTGCTCCTTGGACATAAGAAAAGAATGTAACGGGGCAACACCGTGACTACACCCCACCCTTCTGCTTCGCTAAAGAATAATAAAAACAATAAAAATATGAACAAGCGCAGTTTTTAGCTTGTATTGTTTGTCAAACAGCCTTAAAACTTGACTTTTTGTCATATTGTTTTAAATATATCCACCTCTAGCCCCAATACAGTTAAAGATACGGCGAATCCGAGGGCAGTCCCCGATTCAGAATGTGCTGTGTAAGGGGGTTCCATTTTACGATTGGACGCGTCCTCGTAAGTCTTTAAGTGCAATGTGCTCATTTTCACCGTATTTTCGTCGAAAAAAACACTCTATAACGAGGAAAGATAGTCAAACGGACAAAATTTTCGTCCAAAGGACTCTACTTTCACAAGTTATCCCTTATGAGACCATAAACAAATATTTTTTCCTACTTTTAGAACCAACCCCTATTTTATCCCTTTAGGGGTGGTTGCCAGGATTTGCACCAGGAGTTTCGTTGTCCAGGAGTGACCGGTAGCATACCCTGAAATTTGTAGACCTCTTACACGGACGACGGACAGACGGACACGAGAGCGGTTGCATAAGCCCGCTTTAATGCCTTTTTAAAAGCAGAAGAGCGGCCTGAAAACCCAGTAAAGCAGCTCACACGGTGTGGCCCACCTTCTACTTCGTTATTTCGTGCATGGAATCATGGCTCCATATTGCCTATGACAGAGAAGTCCCTTTAAGTTTCAGCGTCGCGTTTTCGCTTCTACATCTTTTGGCAGTACAACTTGAACTTGTAATAACACACTTACTTAGAAGTTAAAACTTGCTACGCGCCATTTGGGATTACCTCGTGAGGATAGCAGACACACAGTTGTTCACAATATTTTTATGCATAACTATGCAAAGAAAATACAACTGGCTGACAAACATAACAGAGCATCACAGACGAACGAGAAACAATACAGCACTAGCGCTCAGTTGGTTCTGGCCAAATATTTATTAACTGCCACATGAAAATTACATTGAGTCAAGTTCATAGATTGTTAACATGCTTTAAAATACTTACATTTACAGAGATCACAAACAGTATAATAGATAAAACAGTAAAAATAGACATAGAATTACATTGGTTCAATACAATAAAAACTATTCATTATTTTCTATATTTGTACTAAAACACTCATCATACCCATCATCTAAGGTAAATACGAACGGCCTTGTGTGGTGTATGTATGGGCTATTCTGAATTCCTGAGAACACCATTTTCAAGTCAATATGAGCTGATGAACACCACACTTTGACCTCCTCAGAGGCTTATTGTTCTTTTAAGCCAATATCAGTCTAAATTACCTTGCACCTAAAAGAAATAGTCATCATAAAATGCACAAGCACATGAAACATCATTCACCTTAAGAACAGCAACTCTAGTGTTATCAAATACTACAATGCTGAAAATAAAGTAAGCAGTTACGGTACAAAACATATCACTGTTGTCACATTATCATACATGCTCTTAACTTACACACAGCCCTAAAATAATAGATGCAGATAGGTAATACAGTATGCTAAAAACTTAACATTTTTCTTTCAAGCAATATGAAAATACATAACAGCAAATTCACTAGGACCAGTTAACATCAAGTTGATGTTAAATGTAAGCATTTACAAAGAAGAAACTTTAATAAAAGCTATAAACACAACTTACAATATTCATCCTTTACAACTAAATTATTAATTAATAATTATTAAAAAGTTAATATCCCTGCAAATGGAGCTTGAAGGGAAACTCAGATGACTGAGTGACCAGCCATGGCACATTAAATAGTTTATAAAATTCCTAGTGTGAAGGAAGATAGACAAAACAAAAAAAAAATTAAAAAAAAAAAAAAATCAATAAAAATACATTTAAATCATAGCAAAGATGTGGCTGTATTATAATTCACTTTGAAATAAAACCTTAATGGAATGCAAGCAAATTGTGACGGCCACAGTTTTATGACTATTGAGGACTTGAAAGAAATAGATTCGAGGAGACAAAGAGTAGCAGTGCTGGAAAGTTGTTCAGAAATTTCTGTTCAGCTGTTTAGCAAGTCCTTATATCTATGGTAAGATTGCTATCCTAAAATTAGTCTCACAATGCTTTAAAAATTTATAGAGTGGCAGTAAAGAAAATTAAAACAAAACAATAGATGACACAGAACAAGCGATGGTAGAAAGTGATATACAAAGAAAATAAATCTCATTTCTACTTATGTGTCTGAAAGCATAAATTAATCATGTTTCACAATATTGACTTTTGTACAAAATAAACATACAAATCCATAACAATAAATGCCTTCAAGCCTCTGAAGAATAGTGAACACAAAAAGTTAAAAACCAAGTCAACAGATAAAAATATTTGCCTTAATTTGGGCGGAAGGGTGGAGGGTTTAAATAGGGGTCGAAGTTGAAATCCAGAGGGTCGTCAAGAAATTCCATATTGCTAGCGTACTCTATTTCTCCTGTGGCACCCTGAGCACCTGCTCCAGCATAACTGCAGACAGAGAGAATATAAATTAGTTTAGATTAGGGCTTTGGGGATAACTGAAGGATGAGAGTTAAAAAATAAAATTGGGGATGTGTTTGCCATTTAAGATACAGACAAAATAATCATGGTGAAATAATACAATTCTATCACTACACCATTTTACAACTGAAGGGATTAGAGTTAATATATTTGAAGTAAAATTCAAGGGCACACATAGGGTTAGATGTAGGTTGGCAGCTGAACCAGGCCAATTTGGTTCTCCTCGGTCAAGTCACTGCTGGCTGTTCCTAGGCTAAGCGAGTTGAGTGTAGTTGACACATTGGTTAATACTTTTCGTGCGAGGAGTCCTTCCTTCAGGGACCGACCTAAAAGTGTCCCAGTAGTGCCATGAGTCTACTCTACAAATTTCATCAATCTTGTATGAACACTAAATTCATTAAGGTTCTCTTGTGAGTGCACAACAGCAAAAAATAAAAAAAAGGCTATGCAAGGAAAGTGTTGAACTTATTGAAGCATCAAAACTGACGGATTTAGTTGTGCAATTTCAAGAAAAATTAATGTTTCTTCCCTCTCGAACTGTTTGAGAGCAAGACATATGCCCAGCGCCCACGCCAAAAATTGTGTTCAATTATAAAAGTAATGGTTAATAAGCTAATTCACAAAAATATCAAGCAAAAAGACACATTAAGAACATTCCATACAACAAGGGCGACAAAATTTTCTTAACCATGGGTCCGCTTTGCAGTTAACAAGAGTTGTTAATGTTTTTTAAAAAGGAGGAATATGCAGTAAAAAAAGTGTAAATGAAAAAAAAAATGGGGTTGTTGAAGAGTGTCAGCAGCACCCCAACTTGCTCAACCTGCTAAACCTTGGAACAGCCAGCATTGAAAGAGGCTATAATAGGACTACCGAATTTGCCTGGTCTAGGTTTTTCAGGACAACTGGCTCTAACATATAATATATACCATATAACATATACATAATATACAAACACATCGGACCTATTGTCTCCATTCAAAGCTCTTAGTACCCCTCGCGAGAAGGCAAGAGGGCCGCGAGCCTGCATGCGGTACATCTACTAAAGTGCAAGGCATAAAGTGCTCACCTGGTGCAGGATCACCTCAGTACAATAAAAGCACACTCCTCAAAGCAAGTACACACAGAAATGACATGCAGAAGAAGCCAAACTGACACCGCAGTACAAAATGTACATTTGCAAAAAAAATTAACTTTTGGTTTCTAGAAACTAATTGAGTTCAAACTACAGAAAGCAAGGAAATCAAACATTAAAACACAAACTTAGGGTCTACACCAAATATAGAAGTAACACAATACATGCAGCTCAGGTTACTGAAATTTCAGGGTGGTCACACGAATTGAGTTTGACTTATACATGAAGTTTTTCTTAACTCAAATTTCCCCACATCTCAGAGCATTCATAGCCCGAAAATTTCAACCAAGTGGAACAACCGATTGTACTCAGTAATTCAAAAGGCACAACGTTTCCTGATTGCATCTTAATTTGTAAACTTTGTTTTCAACTTCCCTGACAACATCTTCTTTCCCTCGAATTCTCCTAATTTTAATCAACTTATGCGACCACCCTAAAAAAAAAACAGAATGGCAGAACAGAACAGTAGTTCTCATAACAGTACAGATTTAAGTCTTATCAGTTAAAATGTCTAACGTCAACTAACAGGGTTGTTACAGCTTCCAGATTATGAATTTTACTGATTTTACCTGACTTTTTCCTGATCAAAATCCCAAATTTCCCTGACTTTTTAGGCAAATTAGTAGGCAGTAGTCCACAGCTTGAGCGTCAATTTTACCTATTTACTCATTCATTTGCAAGGAGGCAGTCAACTGGAGAAATGTTACTGGCTACTGTTTCAATTTTACTAACTTTCCTGGACCCATTTTCTAATTCCTGACTTTCCCTGACTTTCACGGTCTGTAACAACCCTGACTAAGTTTACATTAAAGTCTTATCTACTTGAGAAGGAAAATGCAGTATGTGCTTGAACTATTAACACTAATTAAGACAACCATGTTCTTCTATTTCTTACTTGAAAGGAAAAATTAAGAAAGAAAATCCGACAATATATGATTAACAATTCATTAAAAGACGTGGTTTGAGGTGAGTAGCAAGATCAGGGTTTTCGAAGACTTAGTACACAATAGAAAAACACATCAGTACTTTGTTATAACTATCGACTACATATGCCGCATTCCACACAAAATGCTGCAGACCAAACAGTTGAACCTCACCTCAGAATCCACTCCAGCTCACTATCAAACACCAAATGGAAACAATCAAGTGATGAGCGACCAAATGGAAACAATCAAATGATGAGTGTATGAAAGAGGGAAAAAAAATACTTCACAGTAATAGAGCATCATAATGGGCAAAGTACATCAAATTAAGAGTGTCTCTTTAAATCTAATTTGAAACAACAAAATTTTTAACATTCCCAACGGTCTGAAAGTGTGCGTCCCTCACTACTTATCCCTAAAGTATTCACTAACACAACTTCATGATATTTGGAGGTCTAACAGTCTAACAAACTGTCACTGTAACAAGCGGCAGTTGTATTCTGAAAGGAAAATTATGATGCTTCTGCATGATATGGGTGATAGGTGCCAAATTACTAATACAAGAAATTGCAGAAGTAGTAAATCTGCAGTTTCAGTCTAATCATAAGATGCTAACCATATGTCTGAATATGCATTACGAATGGTAGATATGTAATCAAGATTGGAAGCTACTACCTATATCAACAGATAATAAAAACAGCATTCAGTAAAAGCAAGCTCTAGGAATGTGAGCGCTAGATTAAATTGCCCAGTAAAAATTAGAAATGATTGTCAGTATGGTTAATGTTGCAGCCCAAAATTAAAGCAGGGAGTAGTAGAAACTGACATCAGTTGAATCTTAAGTTTTATTAACACTCATAAGTCAAAATTCATACAATACTGATAAAAAAAACAATCATCAGTTTCAAAACATTTCATGGATATATAGTAATTGGAACAAAAACATAAATTAAAAAGGCGATTAAAATTGTTTGCAAAAAATGTAACAAAGAATATTACTAAAATTGACAAGACATAAAAACTCTCACTCCCCTTCTATGGGCCTAATTAATATAACAATCAAATGAAGAACGATTGGTAACCATATTTTAAAATACTATTTATACAAAATTACACAATGATAGGAAAAGTAAATGGCCTACCAAAGACCAGACAGGCAGCTAACTGCTGGAGGATGAGCAAGATGGCTAAGAATGATGCATCAAGCCACATCAATGAATTGTAAAAATGGAGTGTTGAATAACATCATTAACATCAGAGCTTATATATACACTGATTAATTACCACGAACTAAAGATCACAGAAAAAGAGAAGGGTAATTAATCTTGGAAAGTCAACAGTAAATTTGAACTGAACCTAAAATGACACTAAAATGACAAATAGTGCTCTAGAGAACACAAAGCAGAGCAGGTATCATGTAACATTGGTCCTAATAATTGAAATAAGAGGTATCTCTAAACTAACATACAAAGAGAAGTTACATGAAGCCAATTCCTTGTCTGTATGATAGATATTGCAAAGCATATGTACTTCGCCTTAGTCTTAATTCTCTTAGTTCACTAATGCATCAAAATGCAATTCATGTCTTACTGAAGTATGTGTAGAGTAACAGCATGGAAAGCCTCAAAGACAATATGAAGCTAGATGACTGTGCAAGCAAATAGAAGAGCAATGCATTGATGAGGATGGGATAAGACATGTGATTACAGGGGAAGACATGCAGCATTCTCTAAACCAGGCCAAGTGAATGATTTGATGATAGTTAACTTGTGAAGTTCCTTGCAAGTAACAGTACTATGCTTTGCAAAAGAACAGACTTGTGCTAAACAACTACCTACATTTTTAAGTACAAAATTGTTTGTAAGTAGCAGATTTTATGGCCCTCAGTAAATCAAATTCCCCAAAATAATGAAGCTAATTTCATGAATAGTTGTGACAGTTCTATTAAATCGAACACTTAGAATGAAATTAGAACCGTAATCACACTAGATCATCGGCAACAGAACAATAGTCTCATGGTGCAACAGAGGTACACAATTTTCAGAACACAAGATCATGGGAAGATATAGTAGGTTTAAGAAAGACTGCATTTTTAAGACATACAATCACCAAACAAAGTATGCCAAGCCTTACAAAAACCTTCCAAAGTCTTTTTTAAAAAGTTGCAAATATTTAAATTAAATATATCCACACAATATGTACAATATAACAAAAGGAAAGAAGAGAATTAGGGACAGATGATTCAATGGAACAATGAAGGAGCATATTAAGACTCACACCACACCATTAAAAAAGACATGGCATTTTCCCATGCAGTTTAACCCAAATTCCCAGTATGAAGATAACAACTAGACATATATAAAAGAGATAGGATGAAAATTTTAAATAGGTATGACGTATAGAGACCGAAATGCAATGAATAGTCAATTTTATAAAATCACGTATATGCCCAAAGCTGTGAGAAGTGTTGGGGAAACTGATCAAAGTCAACTGACCTGGAGACAGAGTCGGACACATGGCTGGCAACAGAAGGAGTGTCTCTCGCTGATCCAGCTTCTGGTGAAGGCGCTTGGAACATTGGAGTATTTGGATAACTAGGAGTAGACTGGCCAGGTCCACCCCAGCCAGGAACATGTGTAACCAAGAATGGTTTGACATAGCCGTTGTTGGAAGTTGGTTGGTTTTCTGCAACAAAGAAATGAGAAAATTGAAATCACCACAGACAAATCAATAAAATTGAGCTTCAGAGAGATTGCAAAGTTTAAGATGTTTAGATTGTTTATATTACCAAGTGGGGTATAGTATTTGCCAAAGGCCTGATCTTTGGGGATATCAGGGTACAAGTGAACAAGATGTTGTAAGTCTGCAATACGATCAGGTAAACTTCTAATGGCAAAATCTTTGCTGGTAAAAGGCTGCAGCATGAAAACTTGGGGACAAACATCTCCATCTGCAAAGGTTACAAACACATGTTTACCATAAGATATTTTAAAATTGCAATCCCAAATGAAATGAAAAAAAACCAACCACCAAGCCAAGCTATTGTAATGCCACCAAGTTCCGAGTCAGAGAACCGGAGGAGGAAAGTGCTTGTAACTCCCGTGGCAATGAGCATATCTTCTGCTTGCTTTTTACGTATAAATCCCAAAATAAGTCTGAAAAGCAACAGAAAGAATGGTTATTAAGAGATGTCAATATATGAAGCAACTCCTGTTCCTATTCAAATCATTCGTAATATGGTTCAGGAATATCTAAGACATTACCCATCTGTCCATGGTTGGCGCAAGTGTTCTCTTGTGAGTTTCACAACAGCATAAAACCACTCCCAAAATGTGAAACTGCGTTCTTGTAATGGCTCCTTACAAAACTGAGACCAAGTCAGCATTTGATTTTGAAAATCCGTCATGTTTGGATTGCTTTAACAGTAAAGAATGCATGGGTTAATTATGACAAAACACAACCTTATCATTAAATTAAATAGAGCAAGTAAATATGAGAGTAACAAACCGAAAGGCCTTTTCAGCCAAGAACCGTAAATTTTCTTCAGTTAGGGGTCGACCAGTGGCATAACGAAATTTCATGTTCAGAGCTTCAGCTACTTGACACCAAGGTACTTTATCAGGTACAGCAAATGGAACACGTCCTGGTTCAGCAAAAGCATTATCCCAGGTGACAGTAGCCCAGGCATGAGGCTCCTGATTGCCATGAACAATGACGACAACAGGAAGAGAAAGCGTCCACACCTGGGAAAAAAAATTAGATAAAAACTACGTACTGTTGTTTTTCAAGTTTTGAGTCCTGTTAATGTTGGTAGGGTACATAGTGAGTGTAAAATACACAATACCTGAAATACCAATTCTCCACCACCAACAGAAAATTGAGACTGGAAGAGCAATGAGAATTTTTCATCCATGACTGATTCTGTACCCTTCTTTTCTGCTCTCTTGATTTTTTTCAGCTGCATGTTCCTACATGTTAAAATCAGATATGACAACATGAGTAAATTCAGGCAACTTATGTACAACAGAGGGAATATGGGTATTTTACCTGAAGCTGACAGACAATTGTCGGGTTGCTTGGTGATATTCCATTGTGCCAGTGTTGTTCAGAATTTCTCCACTGGCTTCTCCTTTTCCAATTTTATCATTTTTAAGAAGAGCATTGGCTTGGGCCTCACTAATAATAGTGACCTTTACCTGAAACAAGCATTACAAAGACAATGATTTTAATGTGCAGCTAATATCAAGAGAACAGCCCATTAAGTAAGTCAATTTAGCAAACCTGAGGGGGTGTCATATGAACATTCAGCTTCCCTCCAACCAGCAAACGAACCGTTGAGGTAAATCGGGTATTTGTTTTCATGACTTGTGGTGGCTGCTTTTCAATAATAAATGTACTGCCGAGTTAAAAATAATTTAGAAATTGAGGAGGAAGAAAACGAAAAACATAAACAGGCTGCAATATACTGTGGATGGAAATCATTACCTGGTGACTAGAGATGATAAAAGCTGAGTGATCTGAATGTTCAGATTTGGCAAGACATCAACAACACCAGGTGGTTCAATAGCTAACTTTTGTTTCAGTCGCTCCACTTCTTTAATCTGTTGGCGATTGTGCCAGATTATTTCAGCCAAACTCTCACACCTGTGAAAAAATACATGAAGAATTAGAGATAGAATAAATTAACCCACAGGACTAAGAAAGAGACATTCAACTTGAACAGGCACGGTTTCGACTTCTGGTGAAGACAGTCTTGGGGACTGTCTAAAAAGTTTAACAATGTGCATCCAGATACAATTCAATCAATAACTAACCAATCCTGGATATTGTCTAGATTGCTGTTGAACTGGGCTCCGTTGCCTGCAAGCTGCTGTTCTCTTTTCCAACGAATTAGTTCTTCATCTAAAACCCGGCACTGCAATGTTACCAGATGTGTGACTGTCTCAGAAAGCTTGTCACCCAACTGAAATCTAAGCCCCAGAAGGCTAGAAACCTATAAGAAACAATGAACAGAATTTTCAGAGCTGTTAAAAATTTTAAGCACATGAAGACACATGATGTGAATGTGTATATCTATCCAACCTTTTGGTTCAAAGTTTGCTCTAATGAATTTTTCTGGCGACTAACTGCCTTCTCTAATTCTACATTTTGCTGGTTGGGCTGCTGCGATTGTAGATGTTGAAGATGTGCTGAACAGAACACATTAAAAGAGAGTAAATTTTGTTTTCCAGTAACCATAACTAATAAGTACCCAGAACTAATAAAATGACAGTATACCATTTAACTTTGTGCATTCATGATAATGAAGAGCAAAGCCTTCTTGCTCTTGCTCCATCTGACGGAGTAGTTTCCCTGTTTCAGAGGTGCGGTGTCGTAAAACGTCAATTTGCTGAGCAATTTCAGCTACTGAGTCTGGCATGAGCCCAGCAGCAGGAGGCACAGATCCTACCGGGACCTTCAGAAAGTAAATAAAAATTTGTTACTAGAGACACATCTGGATTAAGAACATAAAACTCACTAAACAAACAAGGAATTATGGCTTGACTTACATTTTCAACTTGCCGTATCACTTGCAATTCAGCATTCAGGCAGTGTCTCATCAGACGAAACAAGTCCAGAGGACAGCGTGCATACCGTTGCTACAAACAACCCATTGGCTAATTAGAGGTTGATATCATATTAAATTGTAACAGTAAAATTAAGAACATACCTTGAAGAGATTTGCTGAATCCATGAGTTTGTATTTAGTGATAACAAGTTCTTCAGAGTTCATTGAGTTTGCTTTAGTTTCCAACTGTTGAATAAGATCTCCAACTATGCTAGAAGCATACTGCTCATTTTGAGGGTTGTCAATGTCAATGTCCATGCTCCTAAAATTATATTTTAAAATTTGTAAAAACAACTACTTTCATAATGTAGATAGTACTTACATAGAAGTAAAAATAAGCTGCCTCTCGGAGGGCAAGTGCACTTACCACATTTTTTCTTCTATCCATGATGCAAGGAAGTGGCGTACTTCAATAGGGAATCTATCTGTATAGATTGCTCTCACTTGCTGTAGTGCCTCTGGAGGCAGCGACTGAGCCCTGGCCCACAGCGCCATTGGGGACTGGATATCAGATGATTCACTGCCTGTTAGGATAAAATGCAGATGCTTACAGTGAGAAATTTAGTATCAAATGAGTATAGACCTTTTATCCAAAGTGGTTGTTCGGTCGCCCCAAAATCGCAAATTCTTTTCAGCGACAACCTCTTTACTGTGATCAATGTTTGGTATTTTGGCCTCTGTAATCAATGCAAAGAAATCACAAATTTGGAATTTTGATCACGAGAGACACATGAACTAAATTGTGTTTTGTATAACCAACGACTAGAAAGAAAATCGGTTCAAAACTATTAAGCTCTGCTGATAATATGAAAACTTCATTAGCCAATTGAAGTAAAAAGCGAAGAATAAAATCGCTTCAAGGTCAAATGCAATTATAAACTTAAATGGGATCCTATGTACTGCAGCTCATTGCCTCATTTAGCATAAAGTTATAAGAGTAGAAAAAGATGCAGGATAGGAATATGATTTTGTGGATAACATTCAAGAGACAAAATAGAATTACTACAATTTGAGCACCACAACAGTGCTACATGAAAAAAAGCCTAAAACATATTAAAGGAATTCTATCCCAACATGATCTGAAAATAATAGTAGAAGAGAGCAAAGGCATTAGAAAGAACCCCGGAAAAGAAAAGCATCATAGTAAATATCTTTTTTACATAAATTACACACCTGTTGTACTCTAAGGTGTAAGTAAACAATATAGTTTGGTCTCAAGACCAGCAACCTAATTGGGATCCAAATCAGCCCTAACCTATAGGCATTAGGCTGCTGACTCGTTCTGATAAGGTCCTGTATGCCAAGTACTATCTCAAGTGCACCTGCCCCTGTTCAACTATCAACCTGTGCCACAGACTATCGGTGAGCCTACTCACTGTTGTCGCCGTACCGACACGAAGGAAAATTGTTCTCGTTTTTTACTTCAAACATGATATTGTTGAAAAGCAGGCCAAACACAAGCTCCGTGCGTCACAGCACACGGTCTGATCTTGGCACAGGGCTCTGTTGTTTCTTTTCGGAGAATTTACTACATTGCGAGCCCACCCAGAAAGTCCCAAGCCAAGAGAACGGCGCAATATCAGAAATTCGCGATGAACCTAAGCCAGAGAGCATGACGCCCTACACCAAGATTCGAAATGAATTTCCAGAAAACTTACCCAGGACCTTAATGAACCGTAATAATGAAAGCGTCTGAAAATTGGCGTATTTTTCCTACCTTCTATATAAATTACAATGAATCGGTTTCTCGTTTCCAGGAACTGTTGCCATATAAGGATAGGATCTCCAATACTGCCACCCCAGAAGCTTTCGGAGAAAAATGTTTCAAGTATTCAGATTCTTTTACAAAATTCTGGTTCTTTAGAAAAAAAGAGAATTTTGAATGAAATTTGCTTGTAAATCAGGAAAATTGTATTTTACAGGCAGTTTTTTCACATTAATTCGCAACAAACTACTGCTTTTGCTAGCTTTCAACAATTTTGTGTTGTCATTTTCTTTGCCCGTTTTTCATGTGTCTTTTGTTCAAGAGAATGTGGTGGTCATGTAGTCACTGGGCACCCTAACCTACGAGTAGTGTCAACTACGAGACGTATTTCTATTTTTTAGATAAATAAAACAATATATTTTCTTATTGTCATTGCGTGCAGTAAACGTCTGTGGTGAGACATTCTTTTTACCCGAAGAAATAAAATCGTCCGAATCATAAGATAGTTTTGTACACTAAATTTAGGTTGCTCCAAATTTATATTTTGGATGTGGTGCATATTCTCCCATTTATCAGGTGTCTTTCTTATTGCTTCAGGACATTTTGTTTCATCTCTCCATCATGAGCACTTCAAAGCGACAGCAAGATGAACAGCAGATTGACTCGCAACCTATCAAGAAACCGAGGCTTCCTGAATGTGACAGTAATACTGATGCCGATGAAAGTGTCATTGCCAAATCAGTTAAACACGTCAAGTCCAATGACTTAGAAGGAAACCTGCCAGAAGCTGTTCTTGATATTGACATCAAACCCGACCAAGTGAAGGACATCACGTCCAATGACAAAAAAGTGAAACGTCGAAAGGTAGTTCTCTTACTTAGTTATTCAGGATGGGGTTATTTTGGAATGCAAAGGTAATAGAAAGAACAACTTCAATGTTCGGTGAAATGTACATGATTACAATAAGTTCTGATTGTTTACTTTGTCTACATCTAGAAATCCAGATACTAAAACTATTGAAGGAGATCTTCTTCTTGCATTGAAGAATGCAGGAGTTATTACCGATGAACAATATGACAAGCCTCAATTGATGCTGTTTCAGCGAGCTGCACGCACTGACAAAGGCGTTTCAGCTGTGAGACAAGTTGTTTCTCTTAAACTTCGTGAGTAGCTTGTAGTAACATACCATTCCAGTGGGATAGTTTGCATTTGTGACTATATCTCATAATATATTGTTTAATTTCAGCTGAAGAGACTGACATAAATGCTATAAATAAAAATCTTCCTCCACAAATTAGAGTTGTTTCAATGAAACGAACCACCAAAGGATTTAACTCGAAAGTCAACTGTGATGCTCGTACATATTCATATGTTCTGCCTACTTTTGCATTCATGCCTCCTGGTGGGGAGCTAGAGGATTCCTTCCGAATCTCCAAAGAAATTATTGAAAGGGTCAACCAAGTTCTCAAAAACTATGTTGGGACTCATAATTTCCACAATTTTACTCTGAAAAAGTAAGTGTAATGCATGTTGAAGTAATATTCTGTTAGTAGCAAGATAGTACATTTTTATATTGATATTTTTTTAAATATCAGAGGCTTTAAAGATGCAAGTGCAAAGCGGTTTATGCATAGCTTTACATGTGGAGAGCCATTTGTACGAGACAACAAAGAGTACATAATCTTAACTGTGAAAGGTAATTGGATTTGTCTACCAAGAGTTGTAACTTAATTTTTGCATTTTAAAATGTTATCTCAACTATCAATTGTTTAGGTCAAAGTTTTATGCAGCACCACATCCGAAAAATGATTGGTCTTGCCATAGCAATTCTACGGGGTTACACAGTAGAGGGAACTATACAGAAGGCATTCTGTAGTGACCCAATCGATATTCCCAAAGCTCCAGGATTGGGACTGATGTTGGAGGAAGTAGGAGTGACTTCTCTTTCTGCCTCTCACTAATAACTTCAAGTTCTCTCCTTGAGTGTAACATTTTATTCCTCATTCTTCAGGTTCATTATGAAGCTTACAATAGACGTTATGGTAGTGATGGAGTCCATGAAAAATTGGACTGGTCAAAACATGAAGAGTTTATTAATGACTTCAAGGAAAAATTTATTTTACAAAACATTCTCAAGACTGAGGAAGAAGAAAAATCGTATCCTTTTAATTGTCATTTGTTACCAAGATTTCTGTCACCCGTTAATTATTTTATTCCTTAACTGTAGACAGAATGCTGTCATGGATGGCTACACTTTCAGGACATAGCTATTCTCTAAGAGAAGACAGACCCCCAACATGTATCCAGGTGCCTGATAAATCAAGTGTTCAGGCTGAAAATGAAGAGAGCCCAACAGAGCAGGAAAGTATATCTGAAAATGATGTCAAAATATTCAAAAAATTGCCACTCTCCAGCGAAACAGACCCTGATCAATCAATAAATGTTTCTGGATAGAAGGTGTAAACTGCAGTAAAGTGTGACAATATTATTTCAAATTGAATCTTTATTAGCATAAGAATGCAGTACTAATAAAAAAGTAAAAATATAAAAGAACAGAATCAAAAGAATAAATGAAATGAGCATTTGGAACAGTTATAATATAGTTTGTGAACCTTCCTCCTTTCGCAATGCAATAAACCGTTTCATATCCCAAGTCTTGTGACTAGGGGCACAAGCAGAATTCATCACACACAGAACTGTAGTGCCTGGATTATATTTCATGTCTTTAAGGAGCTGGAACAGAACAATGAGTAATAACAGTTTTAAATAACCAGCAAAATTTGCTTAGGCAAGGTGCCCCATTTGTGCAGTAACTTTTATTTTGGTTATGTTGTGCCGCATGCAGACCACATGCCCAAATGTAGTCTGGCGACAATACCTTGCGGTACAGTTTAGCCAAAATAAGAAAGGACTGGGCAATGGGACACTCTGTAGTAGGTAGATAAATGGATAGTGGTGGTAGTAGTAGTGCTAGTAATTTACCTTGGGGGTAAGAAGAAAGTATTGAGGAGTACCAGGGCGGCTGGTGCTACGTAACAATAGTTCATATACCCTGCGCTCATTAATTGCATCCATACCCTAGAAATAAGTTTCAAATCATTAGTCCCTCTTACCTACATTAAAAACTACTAAAAGTGCATTTATTTACCTGATTAATTTCATCCACAAGCCGAAAGGGTGCAGGCGTTAACTCCTGAAGGGAAAGCATGAAAATTGCAGTTGACACTGCCCTTTCACCACCACTCTGAGTGTGAGCATTGAGGTCTTGGAGCTCTTCTGAATCTCTAAACTTGACACGCACTCTTAGCCCATAATTATCATAATCATGCTGTAAATAGAACAAAAAGAAAATGTCTTGACAGTTTGCAAACCTATAATAGGAGTAAGCCCATAGAAGTGGATCTGTACTAACATCACTATTTCCTGTGAACAATTCCACTGAACCTGCACACTTCATCTCAGCAAAATATCTACTGAAATTTGCAGAAATGGTGTCCACTAACTCATTGAGCTCTCTCTTCCACTCATTTTCACGTGTTTCCATATTTGCAGTTATGCTGGCTACTTCAGCTTCTTTGGAGGCAATACTCTTGGTGAGGATTTCTAACATCCTTACATGTCCTTCAAAGATTCTAATCTGGTCCTAAGATGGATAGAGTGCAGGTTAAAGGTTAGTACAAAAAGCAGAACATATGTAAAATAAATTCAGGAAAGTATATAAGTATTGCACTTACAGCATCATCTCCCCCACCAAGCATTGCTGCATGAGCTAATTTATCCTCAATATGGTTCTCTAGTTCTTCAACAGAGTTTGGAAGGGTGGCAAAAATTTGTTCATTTTCTTCCCACAACTTAGTAACCTGTTTCTTGTGTGTCCTCGTTATTTCAGTAAGACAATCTTGCGCTTCCTTGCGTCTATCTGCCAATGCGTTACTTATAGCTTCCAAATTTTTCTGGCAAAAGAATTACATAAGCAAATTATACAATTATATTTTAACAACAAGTTTTAGATTAAAACCATGAATAGCTGTACTACCTTAGCTACTTCCAAAGCTTCTTGCTCAGCAGAGCACAAACGTTGAGAGCTGTTCTTGAGGGCCTTTGCATTCGCAACTTCAAACTCCAAAGTCTGACTTTCAATTACAAGATTATCAAGATCTTTTAGGGCTTGAAAGAAAGGCTCATGCTGACTGGCCAGTTTCAAAACTGCATCCTGAAATGAAACTTATGATTTACTTCACAATACTTGAAATTTGTTTCACAGCAACATCATACTTGAAAAAAAAGGAAAAACAGAAAATTAGGTATGCTCACTCTTATTCGTTTTGCAAACTCCACTTTAATCATTTCAGGGTCCACCCTGTTTCTCATAATTCCTAGCAATTCTCTTTCTTTTTGCGCGAGATGGAATTTCATAGTTTTGAGAGTTGTCTGGGAAGTTTCCAGTTTGGCAGCCTCATCTCTCATTAGTTGTCTGTGTCTTCCTAATTTGTTTATTTCTTCTTGTTCCTTGGCAATTTCACTTTCTTTGAAAACAATTGTGTTATTTATTTGTTCAGCCCTACCAAGAGAGTGGGATGTAAAATTATTAGTTACATATGCTATCAGTAACTCCAGGATTCAGAATGATCAGTGTATGAAATTGAGCTAATTACCTCATCCGTAATGCATCTTCATCAACATCATTAATATTCGATTTGAAAAATCTGGCATGTCCTATAGGATCTGAGTTGTACATTAAGCCATTGCCGAAGCGAGATTTGGTGTGACCTTTACTGTAATCACCTGTGAAACAAAACAAAAATACAAATCTTGATTAATAATCTTGCCGCAACAAGTCCACCATAACATTTCCAAACAAACACACAAAGCAACATGTTTTAGAATTCAAAATTCTTAAGTTCACTAACCAGCATAGTACTTTTGCAGTGAATCTGCATCAACATCTCCACGAGATACAGGAATATTGTTAAACCGTTTCCTTTGGCAGAGGAAATTTAACAAGGTGCTTGGTCCTTTAACATAATCTATCAAGTAACCTTCAAATCCTTGATATTGACGCCTGCAATTAATATTTCAATGTTAATAGAACTAATATTCTAAAACAAGTTTATTAAAAAAATGCATTCAATACATCTAAACCTTACTTAAGGTTCTCTAAAGGAATTTGAGGTCCAGGTGGTGGTCCCGCTGCAGGATCAGCTTGAAGTACATTCACCTTCAATCCCATTCTTTTCCTGCAGTTATCTACAATAATTTTAGTATCCTCTGCTGATTCACATACAAAAGCAATTAAATCATTGTAGCCAATAGCCGTCTCCACATATCTAGCAAACTTGGGGTTGACATCTAATTCTACAATCATTGGTAGATACACTGGTTTCTCAAATTTGTTCCTATTTTCTTCAACCCATTTAGCTGCCTGATAGGCATTATGATTGGCGTCTTGAAGAACTCTCATTCGCATTTCTCTTTGATTCTCTACAACTCCAAGTTCTCTATTCACATTAGAAAGATCTGTTTTTAGCTCAGAAATTTCATACGCAATGTTAGACTTCTTTAATGAAGTTCTGTCAATCTTTTCACGTATTTTGGCTATATCCTCTTTCAATTTCGCTATCTTTGATGCAATTTCCTGAGCAGGCATTCGCTCTTGCGCTTCTATATCATTCCGAAGCTTACTAATGGACTGTTTAGCATCATCTTCTTTCTGCTGTTGAGATTCAGTGGATTTAAGTTGTTTTTCCCTGTCTACTTCAAGCCCAAGAATATCATCACGCCCATTTTCAAGATCATTTCTTATATCAGATACTTTCTTCATTTGCATACGGATTCTCTTCTCCATGCCACTCTGTCTGTTTTTGGTACTTCTGAACTTTTCTTCAGCTTCTGCAATTTTTTGTTTAAAGGGCTCAATTTGAGCATCAATTCTTTTTACTTCTGTCTCTGCATTTTTCTTCATTTCCTTGTAACGGTCTGCTTCATCCTTCTTGGCCTTATACTGCAAAATGCTTAACTTCAACTTGCTAACATTGGCTTGTTCCTCGATATCTCTTCTTTTAGTTATTTTTTCAACTGCGCCCTTCAGCCTGTTATAGTGACCTTGCTCAGTTTCAAATTTCCTCTTTTCCCCTTCAATTTGACTTTTGAGATTATTCTGATTTCTTTGGAGAGCTTTGAGTTTAGAGTGAATGTCAGCCATAGCTTCTTTACCAATAGCTTTTTGGGTTTCAGCAAGAAGCTCTTGCCTATTCAGTTTAGCAAAATCCTGCACCCTGTCTTGAGCAAGGACTTGGCAAAGGTTGTCAACTTGTATGTTTAGTGCTTTTGTTTCAGTTTCAATATCTTTAGCACTAACTTGTCTTCCATTCAGGTGCCAAATACTTTTCCCACTTTTATGAATGGTTCGTTTAATAACAGTATTTTTTCTTTGGCGTAATAGCTCTATTTCAATTTCAGCTTCTTGGCGTTGGTTTTTAATAAAATCCTGGATCTGAAATGAGAAAACAATTGAATTTGAAAGGAATTCAACGCAAAAATATTCAAGTTAGAGCAATAGCAGCAATTAGCTCACCTGTGCTTGAGGTTTGCCCAAGAGAGAGGGCTTTCCGCCAAGTCCAAGAACAATGGCACTGAGAATTGTAGATTTTCCTGTCCCATTAGGACCAATGACAACATTCAGGGACTCTCCAGGAATACATTCAACGCTGTCGTAGGTACTAAAGAGAAAGTTTCTATAATTAGCTTGTATAACTAATAGCATATAATGAGTTGATCAAATAATTGCCAAAAATGGCATGAAGAAAAAAAACTTTTACCGAAGCACTTACATGAAATCCTTCATCCTTATCTTTACAATGCTTCCTTCCCTTCGTCTGACCTCTTCTGTCTCCATTTCATCATGGTCATCGGCATTGTCATGTTCATGATGCCCATTCAGAACCCCTCTAGCCATTGTGAGAGCTAAGTCGTGTGCCAAGTTTAACAAGGAACAAGATGAACACCATGCGAACCTGAGAACACAGAGCACTCAAGATACCACGAAAGATCGGGGCCAGTCCGAATTCTCAAAAATATCGACGAGTTCAATCCTTTTTTGCCCTCAGTTTCTCTCGGGAATGTGTACAAATTTTCAAACCATGGACGGGAGAACCGCACACTTTTCCTTACAGCAGTTTCTACAATGACACAAACAACACAGGTTCAAACTTAAACCCGAAACCCGGTCTCCACTGCTTATTGCTGAGCTGAACCATTGAACGATCAACAACTATTATGTTCAAGAGCGTTTTGATCCTCCTAATCTTACCTGAACAACGCAACCTTCTACGCACCATCAAAAGAAGATACGACCGCCACTCGCGGAAACGCGGGAATACACTGGCTGTTAGACTTAGCACATGTAAGATACCAAACTCAGTCGGGGAAAAATGAGGAGGAAATGGTTTGGTTTCAGAGACGTCTGTCATTTATGTCCCATGTCCTTTTGTAGTCACCTTCACCTTATAAAAGTCAACAATAAGTAATGCAAGAGCAGGGGAAATATCGCCTTAGTTACTTTTCCGCTAATTTTGATACCATTAAAACTAAATTAGGATCTTTTTTTAAGAAAAAATTAAACGTTTTCCGAGACTTTTTGTATGCGAGGGTTGCAGACGTGCCGTGTGTGCGAGTTTGTTTTCAGTGCCTTGCCTACAAGGTGGTTGCCTACCGAACTACCGAACATCGGAGCTGCAGCAGATCAGTCTGCCATCCGTAATACAGATATCGTTATTACAAAAAATACTTCTGCTTCCATGAAAACATTGCGAGTTATTTATTGAAGTGGTTTAAAAAATCACCGATTTCCGATGAACATTGCTTTCACCTCAGTACGCTCTCGTTCTGGATTTTATTATGATTGATTCAGTTTAACCTCTTTTGTGAATATTGGGCTAAGTGTGCAAATCTGGCCAAAAAACTCTACAACAATGGTTCAAAAATATCAGTCGCCTGTTCGGGTTTACAAGTACCCGTTTGAACTTGTAATGGCGGTATGTAGAATCTTTTTAATATCAAACTCGTTGTGGCTGTCAGAATGTTATTTACTTTGCTCACGCTCCCACTCTAATTCTCAGTTGTAAGCAATTAGGTACTTCATGTCAAGGCTATCTGGTTGCAGAAACCCACTTATAAATCACCTGCTTCCCCAAATCTGAATTTGTACTCCAAGCCAAATTCATCACTCTTGCTATTTTTTAATCCACAGTGAATCAAGAACATGATATATTAAAGAAAACACAAACAATATTGTTCCCTGTCTGTGTTTTCTCTCATCATGTTTAGTTGTAATTTTCTTTTCGTTCTTATCACTAATTTTATTTGTAGGCTTATGAAATGCGTTTTCCCACATGCCCGCAAATACCCGTATTTGTGGGCTGTGAAGTCGTGAAAGATGAAGAATCTGCAGATGGCTCCATCCGAAAAACTGAAAGGCGGTGTAAGCTCATTGTGGAAGCTCCATATATTTTAAAAAAGGTTGAATCTAAGTTTCAATGGTTCTGAAATAATTGCTAGCTGGATATTATGTCTAAGTGGGCACTAATAAGAGTTTTCCATGTTAATTTAGATCATTGGGGTGGACTATGTGTATTTTATCCAGAAGAACACTTTAGACCGGAGGAAGCGGAGTCTCACTATTGAAGCATGCAATGAGAGCTTTGCTAACCGTGTTGAGATTTTGGAAACATGCAGATATTTTGTAAGCTGTTACTTGCCATTATTAGTGCTTATGTACTTTTTCGCCTCCATAATTCACACAAATCACAATCATATTATTTTTTTTCCAGGTGCATCCAGAGAATTCGGATTGGACATGTTTTGATCAAGAAGCAAACTTAGATATCAAGTCCTTTTTTGGCTTTGAAAGCACTATGGAAAGGCTAGGCATGAAACAGTACTCAGCTAACATTGCAAAAGGGAAAGAAATAATCGAGTTTTTTATCTCCAAGATGGAAGAGGAAGGTGTTACATCTATACCGAGATGGAAACCATCAAATGCAATTGGAGACACTGAGCAAAATGTTTCAAAAGAGTATGTTAAGTCATATAGGTTAATTAGAGTTTCTATTTGAGAAGACCCTCTTATCAAGGTCTTTGGATTAACTTTTCTCTAATATTGTCCCGACCCAATTTCAGTGATGCTGATAGATCAACAGAGGGAACTTCAAAACTAGACGTCAATCAGTGTGGGGATAAGTCAAAAGGTAAGAAATACTTTGCCTGTTTTACTTTTCCTTGTATTAAAATTGTGTTTTCATTTGCATTGATTTGATTACTTTGTGTAGATTGTGCTTTCCAATTGGACTCTGATTACATCAGACGGTATTTGGGTGAACTTAGTGTTATGGAAGAATCTCGTTTAGTTCAATTGCGCAAATGGGTGGCTGATCTACAAAAGGGCAAGGTAGCAATCAAAAATCTTTTGATATCACGCACTGTATTGTACTGTCCATCATTTATCTCTTACTTACTTGGTTATGTTATGCTATGCATTTATCTTGTTTTAGATGCCAAATGATGCGACTCTTCTCCGGTTTCTTCGTGCTAGGGACTTTAATGTTGAAAAAGCTAGAGAAATGCTCTCTCAATCATTGATGTGGCGTAAGAAACATGGAGTTGACAAAATATTAGCTGAATATCAAACTTTGACTGTCATTCAAGATTATTTTCCTGGATGTTGGCATCATTCTGATAAAGGTATAGAATAAAACTTCCCCACATGTATCACTTTTCATATTCTAATTTTATGACATTAAATACCTAGAATTTAAAACATTTTTCTAGATGGACGTCCGTTATTCCTGCTTCGTTTGGGACAAATGGATGTTAAGGGGCTCTTAAAGTCGGTTGGGGAGGATGGTCTTCTAAAATTGGTTTGTATTTTTTCTGGTTTGATTTTGTTTTTCCTCAATTGATACTGATTCAAATTTTTCATGTGTCTTTTTCTTTTACCTAGACATTGCATGTCTGTGAGGAAGGGTTACAGCGCACTGAGGATGCTACCCGTACTGGTGGGAAGCCCATATCAACTTGGTGTTTACTCGTTGACTTAGAGGGGTTGAACATGAGACACTTATGGCGCCCGGGTATTAGAGTAAGTGTAGTTTGGAATGGTCATTTGTGTTTCATTTATGAATAGGTAGAATCTCTAATTGAATATCTCTTTGCAATGTGTCCATGCAACAGGCATTGCTGCGAATAATTGAAATTGTTGAAGCAAACTACCCAGAAACTTTGGGGCGTGTTCTTATTGTAAGAGCTCCGCGAGTATTTCCTATCATGTGGACTCTTGTCAGTACTTTCATTGGTAAGCATGTAAACATTTTCAAGGATTACATACATTGGCTTCTCCATTTAACATCTTAATAAAATAAATAAATAAATAAATGTGCCTTGGCCTCTTTTACAATTTTCCTTTGAATACAGATGATAATACAAAGGGCAAGTTTCTTCTTTTTGGAGGGAATGATTATCAAGAAGAAGGAGGCTTGGTAGACTACATTCCAGAAGAGTATGTCCCTGAATTCCTTGGAGGTCCTTGCAAGGTATTTTTATTTATCTCTGTTCAAGTTTTTTTTACCCGCCTTCAACAACTCCTTGTTTAATACATAGAAATGTTTTCACCTTCCAGGCAATGATCTGTGAAGGAGGTCTTGTTCCTAAGTCTATGTATATGACAGAAGTTGAACTAGAAAAAGAGGGATGTCCTTTGACTGAGGATAGTATTTATCGTTCAGTTACTCTTGGCAGAGGACAGGTATAGTAACAATTATCTCTGCAAGCTGCTTGAGTGTAACCTGTTTTGAATTAATGCTGGGAATGGTTTTCTAATTCTGCTCTGCTCCTCACCTTTTCAGGTACATGAAGTTCAAATCAACAATGATGATCCTGGCAGTGTAATTACCTGGGATTTTGATGTTATGCGTCAAGATGTTGTTTTCTCAGTCCTACACACCAAAGTTCCTCTACCTATGAAAGAGACAGTACATTCTCCTACTGGTAACGATCATGTGGTGCATTTTATTGGATTGCATAAACTTAAGCGACAGTTGTCAGACAGCAGATAGTAAATACGAAGATTTTACCAATTTTCCTTTACATTTTGGCATGCAATCTTATTCCTGTCTCTCAAAAATTTATTTGATATATAACAACTTGTTAAGTATAAATGTGTTCAAAACAGGCAAAATTTGGAGGTGCTGTTTGACAGCAAGACAACAAACAGCATCTCCTGATTTTACCCGATTTGAACACATATTTATAATATTTGAGTTAGTAAAATAAACATTTGAGAGACAGATATTAGATTTCACCCCACGATATAGATGAAAATTGGTTAAATCGTCGGGATTCACTATCTGCTGTCTGTTGTTTGCTATCCAACAGCAGTTGCTTAAGTTGACGCAACCTTATACTATCTATTAAAACTTGTTGTTTTATTTTAAAACTTGATTTATCCAGGTACTTTGCAATCTTTTGCTGAACACATGAATCCACTGGCTGTTGATCATGAACATCGTTCTGCTATTGACAAACACTGGAAAGAAGGAGTGGATTTTTTCAAAATGGAGCCATCTATTGTGTGTCATGATGGTGAGAGTATTCAGGTGAGTAATGTCAAGGTAAAAATTTGACTTATTTGATGTGATGTATCAATGAACGTGTCGTGGAATTGTCCTACCTTTGTTCAGGGGTCTCATGTGGCCACACAAACTGGTACCTACATTCTTCAATGGAAATTTCATTGCATCCACCAACTTGATCTTCTTGACACTATAACTGCGCCTAAGGCTCAAGTTATGTATTTCTTTGAACAACTCAAATCAGCTGATTACAGGTAAAGCTATTGACTATTAAAGAGTAATAATCTAATTTCTAATATAACATGTTATTTGGTTGGTCAAACCTTTTTGTATCTTTCTTTATAGGGGATCGATGTGCAGTCTCCAGTCAGGCAATAGTGCTCTCTCAACAATGAGTTTAAAGTCTGGGGCTAGCTCATGCCCATCTAGATGATGGCTAAGCCCCGCCGATGCAAACCCTATACCTGGAAGCAGCTGACAGAATGAAGTAAGGGGATGCTAGGCGGTACCCAAAGCATTATGCATTGGAACTTGCAAACAGATGTGCTTGCCTTAGACATAACTTGGTTGCACATCTCTCTGATTGCAGAAGAAATAAATCACCTCTTTGTAGAACAATTTGTTTATCCTTCTACATGCCGATGCCTATCATCTGTGCCAGCTAATTTTCTGCTTAGCAAAATTTTGCATTGCATAGGCCATTTATCCATAATTGAAGTGAACTAGTTTGTTGTAAGTAACAAAAAAAGATTGAGGAGTTTTGAGATCAGTGCACACTGATGCTTTGCATTCAGATGTAGAGCAAGTGCCAAAGGACATTCTCATCGGAGTGATGTGTATAATGCTGTAGGTATTGGTTAGCAGAAAATGGGTGAATAGTTTTGCTTAAAAAGACATATAATGTCATTGTTAATATTTCATCTCTCTAGCTATATAGAAAGCTTCTGTAGTGGAAATATTTGTCTGAATATGGTATGCTATTAGCTAAGCTCTAGCTAAGAGCTGCTAAGAGGTCAATTGTATCTTGGTGCTCTTTACATGAATTTAGCAACCGTACACAGTAACAGGTGTGCCAAACTACCATCTAGATTTCATGTTTTCAATCGTTCTTATTGTATTTTCAATTTCTAAATGGCAATTTTATTTAGAATCTACCTGTGTCAATGAATTTTTAAAATATCTCGCAACAGTCAGCGTAGATTGTGAAGTGTGTGATCAAGATGTGATCATTTTAAGGGTATAATGTAAAGGGAAAACTATGTGTTACTGTGCTGCTGCTGTTATTTGTAGTTTGAATTCTGAGAAAAAGTCAAAATTGTGATATTATGTTTTGGGTTACATTTTAACCCAGATATGTTGTAAATTAAATTTTAGTGAAGTTTTATGGAAGTTTCCTTTAGGACCCACTTGTTAGATTGTGTAATGAAACGATAGATTAGATTAAGAAGCAGTGTTGTGGAGAATTTTTTTCATGACATTTAAGAAAGAAGAAGACATCACAGGCAGATCAGATTTAAATGCTGTTTTCTAGAACTATTACTACTACTATATATTTTGTTGTAGAATGGCTGCATTAAATGTCATAGCCTCCTAATGACCTTTTTACCCGTCCCAACTGTTTGGTTTAAATCTAGAAAAAAAGTAAGGTATGTTGCAAATGGCTCATATTTATGGCTCAAGTGTGTTTGAGTATATCAAGATTAAAATATTGTGTTTTGCATTCCTTTTCAACTTGTTTGAACTCCATGTCTTATTGTTATTTTAATGATACAAAATTATGAGTGCGGGATGTAGTAGTCATTTATCAATATTAGTCCTTAAAGATGTTAGTTACTTATTACCTTATGTATTCGTATTATTCTATTATTCATTCAATTTAGAACTCATTTTTTCTGGGGGAGGTTGTATCTCATTTATTGTCTTTTATGTATTATTTGAAAAAGACCCTTATTTCTGTTTGAAGTGTGTATTGTACCAGAGGTTTTATGGTTCCTAGCCAGAGCTGCCATCCTGCAGGTGTTCAGAATCTCTTAAATCATGTATTTTTATTATTTTAACCTCTTAACCAGGAACAATTTCATCACATAGAATAAAGATACATTTTTATTTACCCTTGTTTGGCACCTTTGTTTTAATATCCATAATGTGACATCTAATAATGTTAAAATTTAACGTTGAAAGGCAAGTTTACTGCCTCATCTTTCTGTATCTGGTTTGAGTGTGTCTTTTGCAATATTTTTTATCTGGAGTTGCTGGAGATAAAGGCGAAAATTAATAACCGGTTTCCTCATCTATCTAGTACCTTACCATATGTGGAGCTAAGCTGGTGTATTAGCCAAGTTTCTCTGCTATGATCTCTTTTTGGAAGTTTTGAGAAATTTGTGCAGCTTAGGTACATCAATTTCATTTTCCTCGCAGGAATATCCTTGGTGTTACCTGTGATCATTTTAATCTGAGTTTTAATGGATGTTTAATTATTTAGGTATTGGACTTTATCAAACATATCTTTTTCTCCTCATTTCACAGTCTACTGATAGAGGACTGTGAGGCTTAGTGATGATAATAAAAATAATAGTATAATGAGATCAGGTCTCACCCTCTGCATGAAGAAAATTAAACATTTCCTGAGAACACCCCTTAAGAAGGATTGTGTCATGAATCTTTATATTCAGTATCACATGTGCAGTATTGAATTGCATCTTGGAATGGTTTTCAGGAAGAAGGCTAAAGAAATTCTCTGTCTCAAATTTTCTAAAATATTTGTGAGCTTCCAAGAAAATTACGGTAGTCTTCGTGTTTTCCGTTTTTACTTTACGCTTGTGGAGTAAAGAGCTTTCTGTAGATAATGTGTAGGATTCTGATTGTTCTCAATATTGTTTGATTGTATTAGGGACCAGTAGCCGTATGTGAACTGGCAAGTTTCAGGTTGCTCCTTGTGTAAAATTGGAGCTTGATAGAGTTCTGTTGATTGCTGTAGAATATTTGTGTATATAGACTTAAAAAATATTTTCCTTACTTGTGAGTTGGTCTTTTGAAGTTTCAGTTTATTTAGGTTCCTTGCAGGTTCAAGAAACAGTCTTTGATTCAGTGTCAAATTTCAGTTCATACCACTCATTTCTTTGTGTCAAGTTTCTGGTCTTGATAAGTGTTTTATTATCTTTATTTGATGGATTATTGTTTGTAATTTGCCTAAGTCCAATTCAAAACAATTCATCAATGTATGCCAAAATATTTAGAAGTAAGCAATTGAGAGAATTAGAATGCGTACTTCTTACTATCTTATTGTATCATGGTCTTTTGGTAATTTAAACAAGATGTGTGTACCTTCAAGCTCACAACTTTTTAAAACATTACCAACTGCATACAATTTTTAGTGTTAGAACCATGTCAGAAAATAGACTAAAATTTGTAGACTACAGAACTTAAGCATTGTGATTGTTGGCTCTTCTTTGCTATGCTGTTTCCCTTCTTTGTATCACATAAATTTGCTGTGAAATATATCAGCTGGATCTGATGGTAACACATATTTTTGTGACAAGATCTTATTTTGTAAGGGAAAATTTTATTGGATGCATTGGGACATGAATGTGAATCTGCCTGTACATGATGCACCGTACAGACATTTCAGCCAACTTGTGTTCAGTAATAAATAATAATCACATGCTGAATTTCTTTACTTCTCTTTATTGAACAACAATCATGCATTAACTATATGTACATTATTTTCAGTCTTCTTACTTCT